ACATTACCCTTGTTCTTCAAAAACTTCACTGGCTTCCTATCACTTCTCGCATTACCTACAAAATCCTCCTCCTTACTTTCAAGACTTATCATGGTTTCGCTCCTTCATATCTTTCTGAACTCCTTCCTCGATACACTCCTGTCCGGACTTTGAGATCTGCTTCTCAATCTCTCCTCTCTCGGTCTCACACTATTTCATACAAACAATACTATACGGTTAACGTTCTTTCTTTTATGCAGCTGCATTTCTTTGGAACAATCTCCCCCTTCAAATTCGCAATGCTAGCTCTGTAAATACATTTAAAACATTGCTAAAAACACATCTCTTTAAGTCTTGTTCCTGACTAGCTCTTTTGACCTTTTGCCTTTTTAAATATTTTGTGTAGATTACTATTAATTTATGAACTATTTGTATTTTGGTCGTAAGTGATTTGTAATTATGTACATGTATTATTTTCATTTGCAAAGTTTTAATGGTAATTTAAATTGTTATAATTTGTAATGCAAATTCTGTTTCCTTTACTTATCAGCTATTTTCTTCTAAACCGCTTAGAGGCAATTTGCAATTTCCGGTATACAAATATCTTATTATTATTATTATTACCAGACAGCTACTGTTCACTCCGTGTCTGGTCCGATTTCAACACCAAAACAAAAATGACATGATGAAAATATCGACTAATAGCACATCGTTGGCATGTATATGTCATCATTTTTAAAAGGAGAATTGATATTAATACTATAAAATATTAGGGGAAGGTAAAGAATTGTACATAGAATTATGATTTATTAGACTTTTCAGGCTTTGAAACAAAAATAAGCAGAAAATCGTATCTCTCTGCACATGCTTTCTATGGAACATCCGGGTACGTAAATATACTCTTTCCCGGACGTGATGTTATATATAGTAGACCAGCGCCGTGACTGATTTTCTATGCAAAGAGAGGCGGATATTTTCGACATTTTAATTAAGGATTTCGAGTAGCCAGAACTTTGTTGTGGTATACTATGTAATTGAAAAACTTATAAATAACATATGCTTGCCGTAGGTACCAAATTAAGGGACATTTATTTGCTTAGAATATCAGCTTTAATGTTTGGAGTAAACATCAGACGGGTGTATGGCCGACACCCTTCTGATGTCCCCCCCCCCCCCCCGATTCCAATGTGGTGCTAAGTGGGAAGCTGCCCGATATGTACACATCGGCCGGAAATCGGCAGGTCATCGGGTGGGGTGGACATCAGTCGGACATCGGCCGATGTCCGCTGAGCCTCCAAGGGTAATCGGCCGATCGTTGTAGGGTGATAACCACCGCCACTTCGTTCTCTGCCACCTTTAAATAGGCCCCTACACAGGCTGCGCCCTTGTAAGTACGCCAGGGGTAGGGGCAGGACACAAAGCAAAAGGCAGGCACAAGTCAGGATTAGGATTATGTTGTGTTGACAATCTCTTCCTTGTGTAGTAAGCGAATAATATTTGTTGATATTAATAATATAAATTGACTCTTTGTTTAGGTTGTTTAACTCCCTTACTATGTTTTTTTTGGTGGGAGGGGGGGGGGGTCACTGTGGGTTTTTTATAATCTGCTTGTCCCCTTATTATATATTAATGGTAAAAGGTTTAGAGGTATGCAGCACAGTTTATTGCTCTATAGCATAAAGTTGCCATAATACACAGCCTGCGTCACTATTAAAGTAGTGCATGAAGTAGACAGTAAGTCTTTCCATTCTGCAGTAGCACGTGGTCCCCAGGCCTCGTTTTCCACCCCCTGCTTCACTGCCGCTTCTCTCCAAGCCCCCCAGCTGATTCCAATTGCCCTTCTGGTCCAGTTCGAGGTTATGTAAGGTTGGGATACCGCATTTTCATGATGTCGGCAGTGTGAGGCACTCCTCGGTGATGCATGAAGCGGTTTCTGACATGACAGCTAATTTGGTCAGCAGGCAAAGGAAGCGCATCGGGGTGAGTTCTCCTCCCTCCTACGCGCTCTTGAGGTCCGGTAGTTGTAAACCATCTGATCAATGCTCCCCAGGGAGTGGAAAATGTGCACACATTGTGTGCGGGTAAGCCTGAATCCGATGACCGGGGTAATAATATATCTGTAAAGCGCTTAGGCACATTGTTGGATCGGTGTATTGAGCGCTATATAAAAAAAAACGGATAAGTATTATTTATTATTATTATTCCAGTCGACCCAACATCTGCCCAGAGGAACTTGTTATTTGCGTCCACCAAATTTTACAATGGAGAAGAACCCCTTGTAATTGTAGTACACATGCAGTGCCGCTTCTTCTGGGTTTCCTGATTGCACCATGCTTGCCATCTATGGCCCCACAGTATTTCAGAAAGTTCAATCAGTCAGAAAAGTCCTAGGCCACTTGTCTAGCGTTGAAGACCTCCTCTCCATATCCTTCGACAACTGCTTGACACAGAGTGGACACGAACATTGATATAGCGTACAGATGTGCGTCACCCAGAAGTCGAAAGCCAGGGAATTATAGGAGTTTCCTGTCGCCAGAAAGCGCAGTGGGATACCCAACTTCAGCCCTGTGGACAAAGGTGTCCTGCCACTGCAACTTAAAAATTGCATATAAATGTTAAACATTTCTATGTATTTCTATGTGTTTCTGCAATTATTACTCAAGCATTGTGGAGGTACGACCGCATTTCTTCTCGCTTAGACTTCTCCTCTCTTAGACTTCTTTCGACTTCTCTCCTCATCTTCTCTCTTGGACTTCTCGTCTCTTCTCCTCGACTTCTCCTCTATTCGTCTCGTAAAGAAAATTCAGGTGTTCCTGAGGGTTCTCTTATGGGGCCCATTTTGTTCACCTTGTATAGTGCTCCAATTGTTGACATCATCAATGATCATGGTCTTTACTACATGATATATGCAGATGATATTCAGGTTTATATCTCTTTCCCTTCAAGTAGTAGGAACATAGCTATATGTCGTATCAATGCCTGCGATTAAAGGCATAATATTGTGGTCAACTAAGAACATGTTACTTTTCAATGCTTCTAAGACTGATGTGATACATTTTACGTCTACATTTGTTCCTGATGCACTTCATTCTTTAATTGTCAATGTAAACGGAGTTTAACATCCCTGCAGTCCAAAAATCCCGCAACCTTGGTGTTAATAATAATAATAATATCCCGTACTTATATAGCGCATAATACTCTAGAAAGAAAGAGTAAGAAATACAGGTGGCAAATAAAAGAGTAACAAGAAAAGAGTGAAGTATGCTCAACATATTTCCTTTTGTTAACTTTGGGAAATATGTTTGAAAAAAAATGTTTTAAGACGTGTATTAAAGTTTTTAACAGTACCAATCTTTTTAGATTTTCCGGTAGTTTATTCCAAAGTTCGGCCGATGCAACCTGCCCAGAGCGAGGCCCTTACAATTTTGTATTCATTTGTGGAATGGTGAGAAGAGACTTTTGGGAAGATCTGAGGGTTCTGTTCGGTACATATTGGGTAAATAATTCAGTCAAATAAGGAGGAGCTAATCCTTTGAGGCACTTAAAGGTTAAAACAAAGATATTCAACTCAATTCTAGCACGGACGGGTAACCAGTGTAGTTTCTTCAGAATAGGGGAGATATGTTCACTTGAACGAGATCTCGTAACAAGCCGTGCGGTAGAATTTTGGATTCTTTGGATTCGGTTTAGTTGATTTTCAGGTAGATTGTAGAGAAAAGCATTACAATCATCGATATGACACATTACGAGACTATGAACTAGTCGTTCTGTCAGGTTCTCAACTATTAAAGCAACATCTAATTTGTCCTATTTTATATCAGGAGAAGGTAGCTGCATGGGAAAACTTACTTACTTGTTCAGTCAGTAATAAATGTTTGTCACATATAACACCTACATTTCAAACGGTTCAGATAATGTTATCATCGACAGGCATCTGTCAATGTCAGATCACATCACCAAGACTTGTCAGTCAGCTGCAACTGCCATTTGCACAATTGGATAGATTAGGCATTATCTTAATCGTTAATCTATTTCAATCCTTGTTTACTCCTTAATCACATTGATAATTGTAATGCTTTATTATATGGTCTACCCCAACAGCAATTAAATCGTGTTCAGAGATCCAGAATACAGTAGCACTGGCTCATAACAGGCACTCGCCCTAGAGACCCAATTTCACCTATATTGTTATAATATTCTCTATTGGTTACCACTTGAACAAAGGTGTAATTTTTAAGATATTCATGTTATGTTTTAAAGCTCAGAATTTACCCTCTCCACACTACATATCAGAACTTGTTCATCAGTACACACGAAGACGCAACCTCAGATCATCCTCACAATATCTTCTTTCTGTAACACCTACTAAACACACAGACATATGGCAACAGAGCGTTAGTCTCCGCTCCTGTACTCTGGAATGATCTACCTTTAGAAATAATAAAAGTTTACTCACTTGCAGTGTTAAAGCCCCTCTGCACTAGTTTGGCATGGAGGGATTAAACCTCCCTGCAAGGTCACTGGCAGGTGGTTATCTCATCAAATCAGCTCTCAATTAACATAAGAAAAGGGGCATCATGGGGAATCAACGGATACCGCTTAGGCATTGTTAGCTGTAAAGCGGACGCATAGTGGGGCGTTAAGGACTGCTGTCAAAACTTATCTATTTTCAAAGTTAATATTATTTGTTGTATTGGAATATCCTTTGATGTATCTAAATTTGTAATTTGTATGTAATATTGTAATTATCTATAATTTGTTTGTAATAATGTAGCTATGATGTGGACAGATTTAATGACTCTAACATTGTAGAAGCATTCAAAGCCAGGGTTGGAGGTTCCTTTGAACCACTACTTTAGCTCCCGGACACTAATGTGGATGAGCTGTGGAAGAAATTCAGAGACACAACCAATAATATCTCAGCGGAAATTGTAGGCTTCAAATGGTCGAGACAAGTTAAAGGTCTCCCAGGTGAGGTTTGTAAGGTCTGTGAACAAAGGAAGAAAGCCAGAATCCTCATGATGAACAATCCCTCGGCCCACAACAAGAAAAGCTACACAAAACTCAATAAAGCGGTTAAGTATGAAGTGAAGAAGTGGAAGAAGAAAATTCTTGGTACGGAGGTGGAAGAGATTGAATTAGCGCAAGCAAAGAACAACAGCCACGAGCTCTTCCAGTAGGTGAAGAGACTATCTGGTGAGAGAGACAAAATGCAACCTGCCGTGAAGAACAATGACGGCATCTTAAAAACTGCTCCCGCAGATGTGTTGGGAAGTACATTTTAGCGTTCACCTTAACACGCAACTTCCAAGGGACGAAAATGCTCTTCTGACCATACCTGACCCACAACGTACAGATAACCCAAGTGAACATTTCACAATTTAAGAAGTAGATACGGCAATAAAACTATTGAAGAACAACAAGGCCTGCGGGTAGGACAAAATAGCTGCCGAAACTCTAAAGGCTGGTGGACAACCAATGAGACAACTCCTGCTCAAAATAATAAATGCAGCATGGTCGGAAGGTGAAACCCCGGAAGACTGGAGCAAGGGTCTTATCACTCCAGTGTTTAAGAAAGGAGACAAGCTGGATCCATCCAACTACAGAGCTATAACTCTACTTTCCATACCCGGGAAAGTTTTCTGTAGAATGGTCCTCATGAGAATACAGGGAACCATCGAGAATCATCTGACTGAGGAACAATGTGGATTCAGAAGTTGTAGGGGCACCACAGATGTTGTGTTTGCCGTTAGACAGACCATCGAAAAGGCCAGAGAAAGAAGGATACCAATCCACATGAACTGTGTTGACTTTAAAGCAGCATTTGATACCATATGGCGAGAAGCTCTCTGGAAATGCCTGCGTTCCATTGGAGTGGACAAGTCCTTAGTTGACCTCATAGAGAGCATGTACAAACAAACCAAATGGTCTGTTATGGTGAATGGAAAGATAACTGAATGGTTTGATGTCATAGCTGGGGTAAGACAAGGATGCCTCCTCTCTCCAAGTCTCTCCAATCCATTCCTGGAATATGTGATGAAGGACATCCAACAACTAGATAGTGGAATACAGATGGGAGACATGCGTATCAACAACATCAGATATGCAGATGACACCACCCTTATGGAACTCGTATTTGAAAACCTCCAAATCTCAACAAATGAACTGGAGAAGGCATGTAGAAGATGGGATATGAAAATAAATGCAACAAAAAGCGAATTCATGACAGAGGATCAACAAGATATTTTACTAAACAACACCAACATTGAGAAAGTGGAAAAATTTGTCTTTCTCGGCAGCAAAGTTCCTTCCATAGAAGAGGACGTGAAGAGACGTACAAGACTGGCTGATTGGGCATTCGGAAGACTGAAAAGTGCATCTGGTCCAACCAAGATATCTCTCTCTCTCTCTAAGTGCCATATCGTTTGACTTTGGCGATCATGCTGTTCCACAACCCTCGGCTCCTAGCCTTCTGTATTATTACCACTCCCAGTTCTTTTACTCCTCTCTCTTCCAACAATTTCTTCAGACTGTCCATCCAAAGTATCCTCCTTCTTCCCCTACTTCTTCTTCCCACAATTTTCCCTGTCAAAGCAAGATTCTCTAGGCATTCTTTACGTGTAATGTGACCCATGAACTTCAACTGTCTAATCAACATCTCACGTATCATTTTCCTTTGCACTCCAGCTCGTGTAAGAACTTCCTCATTACTAACTTTGTCAGTCCAAAGGATTTTCATCATTCTTCTTAAAAACCACATTTCGCAACTTTCCAAACGCTTTTTAGTATCAGAGGCCTAAGTAGTGCAGCGGCTTAGCAAGAAAATTGTGCACTTTTTGAGAAAAGCATGAAACTTCTAGCATAGTTTGCTTTCACCATAAGAATTATTTTTAGATGTGGAGGGAAGTCAGATTTGACCTCTGATGACCCTGAGAGGTCAAATCCAAAATGGCCGCCAGTCCACATGGTCTAATGTACAAAAACGCTTAACTTTTGAACCAAGTAGTCCAGAAAAAACGTTTAAGGTGTCATTTCCAACTAACTTGGGGATGCCAATTCATTTGGTAATACTTTTGAGATCGCCAGAACTCAGGGTGTTGCATTTAGGTCAAGGTCAAGGTCAAAATTGACTAAAAATAGCAAGTTTTGAATGGTTAAAAAAGGTTAAATCTCATTTATTTATCATTTTTTCTCCCCTATGTTCTCAAATTTCTTTAGGAATGGTTCCCCTGTATAGTCCCCCACCTTAATCCCTTTCAGTTAGTTTATTTCACAATTTGATTTGACCTCTGATGACCCTGAGAGGTCAAATCCAAAATGGCCGCCAGTCCGCATGGTCTAATGTACAGACGTGGTAACTTTTGAACCAAATAGTCATAAAAAACTTTTAAGGTGTCATTTTTAACCAACTTGGGGATGCCAATTCATTAAGTAATACTTTTGAGATCACCAGAACTCAGGGTGTTGCAATAAGGTCAAAGTCAAGGTCATATTAGGCCAAAAAAGTGTTGATGTTTTTTTTGTTGTCCTTATTTTAAAAAATAATTAGAAGACCCATGTACCACCACTTTGACTATCCAGGGCCAAATTTTATAGCGCTGCTTATCGACCGGTTCTCTGCTTACGTATGAGTTTCTACTTTATAGCACTGCTAACCGTAAGCACACGAAAAAGCATTAACCTTACGCTGCTTACTGGGCGAAAATGAATTTTGTAACAATGCAAATCCATTGTGAACGCGCAAGGTGGACGCCTTGTTTTCTTGCTAACCTGCTTAAGCAATTTTTTTCTGCTACAGTTATAGCACGAAAATTTGCTTACCGGTAAACAGCTTTCTGAAATTGGGCCCAGAAGACCAAAAAACCTATTCCAAATACGACCTAAAACCTGTTCATTACCACAGCTATAGATATCCACATGAATTTAGCACTGTCCACAACTTATGAATATCCTAATGGTAACGATCAAAATCTAACAGTCTCCAGAACAAGAGCACAGTTCAGTGTACGGGAGAGGGGTCCAAAGAGGCAGCCACCCAGTTGTTTCGTTTGTCTAGCCCAAGTCAGATGGCTCTGGCATGTCTGGATTCTTGGCCACTATCTGGTTCCAACAGTTGGCCTGGTAGCAAGTGCGCTTGATGTGCTGCTTGAGAGCTGCCTGGGTTAGAGGAAAGTTCTCCAGGTCTCTAGACTTGTTTCCTGGCATCATTCACTATCATGCTCTCATTGGTTCGTTCGTATCAGCACCACAAATCGCTCTGACAGTAACATTGATCCTTCACTTAGGCTCACTAGGCAAGGAGTTCACTGAAGGAATCATTCACCTCTGGGAAAGACTTCTAAGTTTTCCAGACAGTCTTCTTTCCTCTGAATGCAGAAACAGTGTCACACCCGGTGAACGCATGAAAGAATGAGAGAGTCATACGTTGTGTCGGACTCATGGTGGCAACTATTTAGTGTAAAAGCTATGTACCGAAAGCTTGATCTGACACCAAAAGCGATCCACAGCATCAGGATCGAGCTGTCTTGCTGAATGAAGCCACGGCTAGTACAACCGCATCAGTACCAACAGTACGTATGGTTACCCTTTTACACCCTTTTTGCACAGCATCTGTCTGCCACATGCAGAAGTAGACGAGTGTTTGAGTTTGAGTTTGAGTTTATTGATTTCACATTTCACATGCAGAAATAATACAGATAACAAAATAAACATAAAAGACATATTGTTTCATAATTTAAAAAAAAAATGATTATATTAATTGACAAGGTAATCATCACATATGTTTGACAACTAATATCATTTAAAGGAAACCCATACAAAAGTACAAACTGTGAAATGTGCAGGAACATAGAGAAAAGCAGAGCTTGTAAAGAATAGGTTCCTGGGAGACTTGAAAAATAACAGGGACAGAAAGGCCCGAATTCACAAAGGAGGTTTGTCGACAAACCAAGGTTTATGTGCGTCATACGACGCGTTTCGACGCGTTTTTACAAACCTTGGTTTGTAAAAGACAAAAGGAGGTTTGTCGAAACAAAAGGAGGTTTGACGACAAACCTGGGTTTGTCGACAAACCTCCTTTGTGAATTAGGGCCAATATGTTTACTGTAGAAAGAGGTACACAATTAAAGTTAAGACGGCAGTGTCAGCCTATCCCCGTGCAAGCATGGAGCAAGGCCTTCCAAGTGTGACTCAGCAGAAGAACAGAGTACGCTACTTCCATATGTTGCATACAGTTCCTTGCCCTGTGGTAGAGGAAGATGAACTTCTTCGCGTGACAGGAAAGCAAACAATTAGGTTTTGTTCTCATTGACTCAAAGAAAGTCCTTCCAGCTTTTTGGCAGCACAGTAGAAGGAGCCACCCTTTTCCTATTGCCCTTTCCCCTTTCCGGCCTTATTGAGGCTTTCAGGCTAGCAGGTAAGGATACACCCTAGCCAAGGTCGCGATGCGGATGCTTTTCCCGAGTTGAGCGAAGATGTATGGGGCAAACACTCTTTCTCCATACTTTTGAAATGTTGTTGATGTTCCAGGATTGAGCATTTGAACCACAGCTTCACCATCAATAATTATTGCTTGGGCCACAGGTGCACTATAGTTTTCGGGCACATTTGATACCAGGCAGCGAAGTAGTCAAGTAGATCTGCTTTAACTCCAAACCGCATTTTCCTCCAGTTAACAAAGCTGGCGGGGCTGCCTGGTTTTCATGGGAGAAGAAATAATCCATATCTCCATCCCGTGTCTGACACGAGATGTACATTCTCGAAAAGATAACTTTGGCCGGCTGCCGACTAAAAAGTGGCGACTTGTTCGTATGAAGTGTTTGTGTGACAAGTGTCTTACACTGCTCTAGCCTTTCTGTCACAAACTTTGAGTACTGCTCCTCACATAGGGTCTCAATCCTTCTCTCCGTTTCAGCCACTTAGGTGTCCATGATATGTCGCTTGTGCCAATGACTAGTAGGTCTTGACTTTGTTCTAGAAATGGATTCCCCATCTCTTTCAGTACTGTCAGAAGTTCCTTAACATCCCTCAGGAATTCTGTCTGCACTCCAGGCTGCTGGTCATGGTGATGTTGTCTAGTGTTAGCAGAACCGTTATTTTGCTTTATGGCCTGTTCCTCAAACTATGTAGTGATCCTTGAAATTACTTAGAACCAAATAAAACACAACGTAACTTAAAGAACAACTTACCAATAGTATTGAGGAGTAATGGAAAGGGGCAGATTCCTGACTTGAATTGAGGTTTTTGCCGTTTTCTTAGCTGCCCACTAACCATGCTATGCATATGGTCAGTTACAAGACAAATAATGGTGTGGTGCTATAATTGGGGAAATAAACTAACTGAAAGGGATGAAGATGGGGGACTATGCAGGGAACCACTCCTAAATAAATTTGGGGACATAGGGGAAAACAAATGACAAATAAATGGGAAAACGTTTTGTGAACATTCAAAACATGCTATTTTTTAGTCAATTTAGACCTTGACCTTGACCTAAATGCAAAGTCCTGAGTTCTGGCGATCTCAAAAGTATTACCAAATAAATTGGCATCCCCAAGTTAGTTGAAAATGACACCTTAAACGTTTTTCTTGACTATTTGGTTCATATAAGTTAAGCATGTTTGTACAATTAGACCACTGTTGCGGACTGCCGGCCATTTTAGATTTGACCTCTCAGGGTCATCAGAGGTCAAATCAAATTGTGAAATAAACTAACTAAAAGGGATTAGGGTGGGGGACTTTACAGGGGAACCATTCCTAAAGAAATTTGAGAACATAGGGGAGAATAAATGAAAAATGAATGGGATTTTTTTTTGTAACCATTCAAAACTTGCTTTTTTTTAGTCAATTTTGACCTTGACCTTGACCTTAATGCAAAGTCCTTAGTAAAAGTATTACCAAATAAATTGGCATCCCCAAGTTAGTTGAAAATGACACCTTAAACGTTTTTCTTGACTATTTGGTTCATAAGTTAAGCATGTTTGTACAATTAGACCACTGTTGCGGACTGCCGGCCATTTTGGATTTGCCCTCTCAGGGTCATCAGAGGTCAAATCAAATTGTGAAATAAACTAACTGAAAGGGATTAAGGTGGGGGACTATACAGGGGAAACATTCCTAAAGAAATTTGAGAACATAGGGGAGGACAAATGACAAATAAATGAGATTTAACCTTTTTTAACCATTCAAAACTTGCTAATTTTTAGTCAATTTTGACCTTGACCTTGACCTAAATGTAAAACCCTGAGTTTTGGCGATCTCAAAAGTATTACCAAATGAATTGGCATCCCCAAGAGAGTTGGAAAAGACACCATAAACGTTTTTCTTGACTATTTGGTTTAAAAGTTAAGCGTGTTTGTACATAATAGACCATGTGGACTGGCGGCCATTTTGGATTTGACCTCTCAGGGTCATCAGAGGTCAAATCTGACTTCCCTTCACATCTGATAATAAATCTTATGGTCTAAACTAACTATGCTAGAAGTTTCATGCTTTTCTCAAAAAGTGCACAATTTTCATTATATTGGGAGCTTATCGGCTGTACTAAAGTTCATGTTTCACTACCATACATATTGGGTAGATGTAACAATTCAATACTCTTATTCTGGTCCTCATACTCATTGTTCGATTTGTCAGAATTTTGCCTAACTTTGAAAATGGAGATTTAGCGAGAGCTATCCTTCTCTTGATCTCTGTCTCACATCTGGCATTCTCGGTGATCATGCTGCCGAGGTAGTTAAATGAGGAGACTTGTTTATTAATAATCTGTTCTTTCAGTTTCAAGTTACATTTTGGACTGCTCTTCTTGGAGACCACCAGGCACTTTGTCTTGGTATAGTTGATCTTTCGTCCCATTCTCTCACTTTCTTTTACAACTACATTCAGGAGTCTCTGGAGATCTTTCTCTGATTCAGAAAATAAAACAGTGTCATCAGCATATCTAATATTTGTGATCGAATGGCCACCCACTTGTATCCCATTTTCATCATCAAATTCTCTTAGAATGATTTCACTTTACATATTGAACAGGTCCGGCGACATAACACAACCCTGTCTGACTCCCCGTCTGATGTTAATATATTCACTACACTCTCATTCTACCCTGATGCATGCAAACTGATTCCAATACAGACTTTGTAGCAGTCTGATATCTTTCCTATATATATCAAGTTTGTTCAGCTCTTCAGAAAGTTCTGAATGTTTTACTTTATCAAAAACCTTTGAATAATCGATAAAACACGTGTACACATCCTTTTGCATTTTAACTGCTCTCTCCATTATATTTCTAACCACAAATATTGCATTTGTTGTGCCCGCATCCTTTACAAAACCAAATTGTTCCTTTCCGACCATGGGAGTTATTCTACTTCTTGCTCTTTTCTAGATATTTCTAGGAGACTCAAAGTCAGGATCTACAGAGCACTTATCCTCCCTATTGCCACATATGGAGCAGAATCCTGGACTCTCCGAAAGTCTGATAGAAATAAGCTTGAGGTATTTGAAATGAGATGTCTCCGAACCACCCTTGGAGTTCACCTATTGGACAAGATAAGTAACGATGAGATCAGGCAGAGGCTGGACGTCCCAAGCACCAAATGCGAAGAAATAATCAAACGTCGCTTGATATGGTTTGGCCATGTTTTACGCATGCCGCATCACTGCCTACCATACCAAGCATTCCAGAATGACTTTAATGGACGCAGACCACGGGGACGCCTTACAAAGAGATGGACCAGGTTCGATGCGATGTGGGATTACCCACACAAGAGGCAGAGCAACGAGCCGAGGACAGATCAGACTGGAGCATGATTTATCGTAGGGGAGCAAGGGGACACACCGTACTAAGTCCGTAAGTAAGTAAGTCAATAATGTAGGCCTAATATGTAATGTGTTTGTGGTATTGTAAGTTGTATGAATGTAATCATGTAAAGCGCACAGGGGATTGTCCTCGATGATTATTATGCACAATATAAATCACAATTGTTATTATTATTATTATTATTATTAAAGGTAACGGGGAATGAGATTTTGTTAATGGCGAAGTCTCTATAATATACCCCGGACAAGCAAGAGAGCAGCGCGGGGGCCCTGCTGTTCATTCTCAGGGTCTACGGCAGAGACATTAGGGAGCCTGGTGGTGACCCGCCGGACAGCAGGGGTAGGCCAGGTTCCGGTTGGGGGATCGGCAGGCGGCCCGACGATAAATGTTAACAAAATATCGGGCGATGACCCGCTGGACATCGTACGAACATCGGTGGAACATCGGCTGACACTCAGACGAGTAAAAAGTGATCGACGTCGAGTTTGGTTTTAAGTTGAACTTAAAACTTTTCGGGCGTGTTCCCGATCTATAATGTCGTTTCCCTTTAATAAACCAGTTTACAGTTGCAGTCTGAGCATGAGTAGATAAAGGTCATTTGTACCAAAAAGGTTAAACCCACATAAATGAATACTGGATATGCGCTCATGAAAGTTATGTAACATTATTCATTTATGCACCAACGGCACATTCTAAGATACGCAGGTGGAAGTATTCTTTTCAAGAGGGCAAACAAAAATGTATTCATGAAGCACATCTAGGACTTTGGCAGTTATTATTCTAAGATGCTCAAAGTGGAACTTCTCCATCTTTAAACTCCCTTATAGTCACAGTTCAATCAGCTGCCGTACTACTCCATCTAGTGGCGATAAAATGTCAATCAAGCGATGCTTGCAGCAACGAATAGGCGAAAGTCTCACAGGTAAAAGGCCGTCTTTATTGTGAAACTATAAAAATGCAATGTATTGCTTAGTCACACCTTTAAACCGACAATACTCCAAACCGATCGATTCTTGGCAATTGCAGGTAAAATAATTGTTTGATCAGTCTGGTGACACTTTAGTTGGTAAGATTGTTTTTTTTTATCTATCCGTCATTTTTTTTTTATTATAGGCCGATGCAATTTGTGAAATTGAATATTTAGGGTATTATACAAATATTGACGGATAGGGTGTGCAATATAACGTGTTTTGACCGCCTAAGGGATGTCTATTTCCAAAGGTTTTATATTAAATAAGATCATGAGAAAAATATAACTGGATTGTGGTCCTCCAGGTTGTCGCTTGATATCGAGAGTAAGAATCATAATTAACATCTGTTCACTCCCGATCATTTGTCAATAGATATATTGAACAAAATGGTCAAATGAATATAAGTTTAATCAATGTATGTCGCCCTCTTGTCGTCCACAGACTTTCGACTACTGAGAGATCAACGAATTCGACCCGCGGAAGATAAATTTTACCCTTCGAAATGGGTTCTCATTTGTCCTCATGAGTGACTTTGAGGTCAATCGGCCTATGGAGGATTAAGATTTAAATCCACTAAACATGAATTAAAACAAGCATCGAAAATATCAGCTCTGACTGCAGAGCAAGGGCAATGGACAACGAGAAATGAGAAAAGGTATATACCGAGCAAGAGTTATCTGAGTGCCTGCTGGCATTCTACGCTGAGTTGCGGTGATTGCAAAAAAAATCCATGGGCACACAATACACTATACGGCCTGCAGAGACATTTTCGTAACACAAAGTTAATATTTTGTACAAAACAATTTGAATTTCATAGAAATGACATTGAAAAATACTTGTAGGCTAATTAACCATGTACGTACTAGAAACAGTATTAAGTAGGATATTCAAGAGATTCTAGTCGGAAACACATGCTTTTAAGACCCTGCTTCTATTGCTGAGAGTCTCAATAATTACTTTCTAAATATAGGTTCAAATCTTGCACATGCCATCCCAACCTCAAATCATTCATTGCATTCATTTCTAGATCGTCGAAATCCTGAATCTCTATTGTTGTCCCAGAACAAGAGATAGAGGCTATTGATATAGAACACAATTTAAGGCACGGGTGGCCAACTCGCGGCCCTCGAACTCTTCTAGTGCGGCCCGCGGAGCTTTGAAAAAGAAATTATAAAAATAGCTCATGAATGAAATGCGGCCCGCAAAGCAGCGATGAAATAGGGTAAAACATTTACAGACAGAGCTCTTATTCCATAATTTGTTTTCACCATTCACAACATATTGACTCGTTATACTTGGTTGATACAAAACTCCCCAAATTCCCTCTCATTAAAATACATTAACGACATTAACATCACTCGCCGTGTTAATTTCAGTCTGTAATTTCCGCACACAGTAACGTTTATAAATATACAAATGTTGTGAATCGAGAAATATGTTTGAAATGCAGTACTTACAACCCTTTTCTCCCGCCTTTGAATTTTCTCATGAATCTTAATCGTAAACTGGATAGTCCCCTTCCCTTTACACCGCGTTCGATAAGAAGTACAGTGTACGACTAATAAAGTTAGGATGTTCTTTCTGTTGTGTCCTTGATTTTGGTTGAAATAACAACCAACATGGCATCGACTTCGAGACCTGCGACGAAAAGGAAAGTTCCTGATGAAGGCAGTATTTCTTTGTAGAAGAGAAAGGTAAACCACATTGCCTCATTTGTCACCAGAGTGTGAACGTAATGAAGGTTAACAACATAGCAAGACATGATTATGACACGCTGCATCTAGCAAATTATGGAGAGTTACAGGGTGAGGGTGAGGGTGAGGCTAGAAAACAATGACTTGACAAATTATAGTGACCGGTCTGACTTGCTGAAATTTGTCCATCAAATGCAGCCCCAGAAATCACATTTAAAGGGATAGTCCACCCTAGGATTTTTTATCGAAAATCAGCCGCCCCCCCCCCCCAAATGAAAATGCGTTACATGGGCATGAAACGATCGCCAAAAAATAACCGATAGTATCGGAATTGTGACGTATGTTGCGAGCTGCCTTCTTATTTCGCAGACATTCACTTTCGCTTTCCCTTTCATTCATGATTCGTCGTGTCAGTGCGATAACAGTGTACCGCGAGCGAAAGTGAATGTCTGCGAAATAAGAAGGCAGCTCGCAACATACGTCACAATTTCGATACTATCGGTTATTTTTTGGCGATCGTTTCATGCCCATGTAACGCATTTGCATTTGGGGGGCGGCTGATTTTCGATAAAAAAGTCAATATATCTTCGTTATGTGATCATGGATTTTAATGAGACTTGTATCATTCTTCATGGTATTATTAGGTCTATATCGTCAGCTAAAAAAAATCCTGGGGTGGACTTTCCCTTTAAAAGGTAAGCCTGATTTTTTTTCTACTGATTTTGTTGTTTGCTTGTTTTTTTTTTGCAAAATTGCAGGTGTGTACACATAATTGCATGAGTGTGTGTGGGGGGGGGGGCAGATGACTACCTACGGTGAAACGCCAAAGCTTTCGGGCTTCGCGCGGGAGGGGGGTGGAATTCATTCAGATAAGGATTAATAGTCGAGAACGGTACAATAAGTCGTCTTTTTTTCCTAATAATTTAAGGAAACGTCTAAGCTTCCGCGCTTCGCGCGGTAGGCCTATCACCCACATCCCCCTAATGAGCGCGCTTCGCGCGCTCTTTGAGTGATTCGCCTGCTCACTTCCGCCCCTCCCTAAAATGAGATCCTAGCTCCGCGCCTGCATTAAAATATATAGCTATGATGCTGACTAAGTTGACGAAATAATTCGTATATTTATGTCGTCGAGGAAAATGACCATTTGCGCATACGCAAGTACTATAGATAGTCCGTAGGAAAAACAATTTAGCCATCGGCCCCGGGTATATAGGGTCAAATTTGTAAATATGGGGACATTTAATTTTGTCGGTAATTGGGGGCTAGTTTTGTCGGTAATCGTTGGCCTCTACACCCCCCCCCCCCACTAAAAAAAGGTCTAGCGACGCCCCTGACCATTATACATCATTTTCTAAGCGATGGGACTCAAAATAAAGAGTTCGCATCTTCCTGACGAAATGCTCAATCTTTATGTTACTACTTGAAAGTGTGTCGTCTTATTTCGTAGTTCATTTTAATAAAACACTACGGTTTGCAGATGTCAGTATTTCGAAATATGTCCAATTCTTTTACTTTATGGTTGTCATATTTGGCATGCGCGTGCATGTATGTATGCATGTATAAATTTATGTAAATGTGTTTGGGTATGTGTGTGTTTGTTCGTTTGTGTGTGTGTGCGTGTGTGCGTGCGTGTGTGTATGTGTGTTGTGTGTTGTGTGTTAGTGCGTGCGCGATAGCGCGCGCTTGCGTAAATTAGTGTGGGCGTGTGCTCGTGCTAGTATGTGATGCCTCCCGCCGATCATCCCCCCACTCCTCGGTACGGATTTACGCCCCTGCTACAGAAGGTCACACGATGGCACCCGAACCACTCACGAAGGCAATACGAAGATGTGAATTTGTAATAAGAAGTGTACCCGCAGGCCACACGAAGGCCACACAATGGCTACACGACGTCGTATTAAGAATACGAAGCGTTCCAACTAGGTCACGAAGGTGTCACGTGACCTCCCGATGGTATGAAACCTTCGACCGACGCTGGGAAATTAAATTGCTGATCGGAAATTAATGATGCTAAGAGCAGGGGCGTCGGAGCGACTTCCAAATTGGGGGACGGGACCAACAAAAAAGGGCACTTTCTGGAAAAAGAAAGGTACCTCTCATAACGGAAGACTGAAAAGACCTTTGATAAGTAACATAATTATATCATCTATGAAATCAATGCGAGTGAGTGTAGCGAGCGAGCTTTGGGAGAAATTGCCCTAATATTCACTTTAAATTAGGGGCACGTTTAAAAAGAGAAGAAATGGGGGCACTTATCGAAAAGGATAAGACACTTATTACAAAAGCACTTATGAGAATGGTAAATGGGAATTTGTCGACGGAATT